GTGCCCTGGGCAAATCCGGAAGCGGCCTGAAAAGGGGAAACATCTCAAACATCTCAAACCATGCCTCCATGACATGCTGTGCTCTCAAAAAACTGCGTCGCACCTGGTCCGAGCACCTGTTTAATTGGGGGCCCCCCGCCCCCCCGGCCACAATAAGAAAGGCAGGTTTCCGCAATAGTTGGACCATGGCCCTGTATTGATTCTCTATTAAAAACAATAGGCTGCAGATCCCTGAGGTGCTGCTTTGCGTCTCCGCAAGCAAAACAAGAAGCCTGCCGACAGATTTTTGAACCCCCCCGAAAACAGTTTCTTTAAATGTGCCAAAAAGCCCCACTTTCCAGGTACTTGCTCGGGCTCTGTGTTCTTTCAGACGACACAACTTGACACAAGGATGCGGGAAGTATCCATACATCCCCTTGATACCCGAACCCCGATGCCCTCACGGGACTAAAGCGCACCTTGCTGAAACAGCCGCACGACATCTTGAAATCTAAAACTGAAAGGGTTTATATCTTGGCGACGATCAATCAAGAGGCCTGGCCGAGCATTCTCCGCATGGACTTGCGGTGGAAGCTGGCGGACACATCTCGTCGCTCTGAATCCTTCGTTTGTCAGAAGTCTCGTTGCTTGGCTGAGTTGTCAATTGACAATGGTAATTCCTTGTGGATCCCCGTCTCACATGCTAGGCCCGGTTTTCCCAAAAGTGCCACAATACCCTTCTCGTGGCACATGCCAAAGCGAAACGGAACCCTGCCAGAGGGGTCCTCAGCGGTGTAGGACTTGAAGAGAATGTGGGGGCCGAATTTGTTTTTCGGTGATGGCGGCGTCCTAGAGGCAGGGGGCATGTCTCATCACGTTACGGAGGCTGGAGCATCCTGTGCTGCGTGTGAACTGCGAACCCTAAACGATCTGCATACGTCTAGAGTCTGAGCCTAAGCTGCCCTGCTGTGTCTGGGACGATGCTCCACAGGAGCTTTTCATGCTGCAACAGAGCTGAAGGTTGCCAAACAACACCCCAAGATCGCCTACGACACTTTGGGGCCAGGCGTCGGCAGTATCTTTGTCCCGTCATCTCTTTGCGGGGAAGCCTTCTTTGCCGCGTGTGGCATGTGGGCACACTTTCGTGTTCTTTCCAAACAAGCTTGATCAACGGTGTCGAGAGATGTTTAAGACTTCCATTCTCGGGATGGCTTCGGATGCTTCGGACTTGAGAAGGGTACAAAGAAGGGCCCTTAATACGCTGGAAGTTGGACAAGCACCTTAGGTTTTGAGTCGAGGCACCTGTTTGGGCCGTCATGTTCTAAAGAGTGCTTGGAATACCCTGAAAACAATCCCCAAGACCGATTCGAGACTGTTCTTGATCCCACAAGTGAGCCCTGCCGATATGCAGCGACCCCAACAAAGCAGCCTGCTGCCTATTTCGACGCGGTCGAGCTGGTGGTATCCGACTCCTTGGTTCTTGGAAAGCTTGTATGGGGGCCTTGCATCGTCCCGCAACTCCTTTGGGCATATAGAATGGTGGGTAGTGGTCGGCTGCGAAGCTTTCCCCCACAAGGCTTCGTAGGTTCCGAGGGACTGTCCTCAACCAGCCCTGTACTTCTAAAGGTTGCAGAGCCCCCACTTAGGATGGCTTAGGATGCCAGGAAGCAAACATGCCAAGAACCCCGTTCACTGCCCTTCCTTGAGAAGTTCAAGATCACTGGATCCCTGTTAACCGCATCATGGGCACGCGCCGGCATTGAGCCACTGCGACAGGACATCACCTCCGAGACTCCAGCATCCCGAAAAACGTCCGAGCTGTGGGCTAGTCCGATTTTAGAACAACAGCGATAAGGACTTCGCCCTGAGCATCAGACATGATGTAGACCCGATTCCATGAACGGAGAAGCAGTACACTCTGAAGCTATAACACCATCCCGAACTCCCCGAGCCAAGCTGCGTAAGATCGCATCCTGGCGGTGGGTGCAAAAAGCCATGCTCCGGTAGCGTTTAGCGTAGCAACTCTAAACATTCTCCAACACCCGAGCCACCCCCGCTGCAAACTCTTCCGATGGGCTTTGCCAGACCCATAGATACAATGCCTCGTCCAACCAGGCTTGCAGTGATGGTCCAACGGTGTATGAAGTCATATTGACGTGGTTGAATTCAAGGCGGAATTCAGATCTTCGCAGGTCCACAGCCCGCCGACTTTCCCTTCCAAAGCTGGGACTACGGTCAAGTACTGATCTTAGAAGGCATTTACGGCAACCTGCCCCCACGACACCTGGAAGAGGATTGAAAAACATCCTAGTCTCGTGAGCTTTCTGTTATGAGCTTGCACCGCCTGCTTGTCGAGGCGTTGCACGATCGACTCGTGGACGTGCGAGAGCTGATGGGACAGGCCATCGACATGGTGATGCTGGTGATGGTGATGCTGGTGATGGTATTCCTGCGTTGCAACATCAGGCACGGCTGATTTTGAGGTTTGGCTGCCAGAGCTTGTAGACATGTTCCACCTCCACATCCGGGTAACCCATGGTTCTCCCGCACCAGGGCTCACCAGACTTACATCTCGGAGCCCCATCCACTTTACACAAGCCATCTTCATCTTAGCCGTGAAACCCAGCCTTGTTGCTCAGGATCGCATTCACATCCGGATGCGCTGACTCCTTCTCCAGCCGCTGTCAGCGGCTTGTGAAGTCATGTGGGGTTTCAAAAACGTCGGGCACTCGGCATGTGCTTCGGGGAAGGCGGCAGCCCTACTGCTCATCGCCCTTCATGGCCCTGCACCGCTCACCAAAGGCATTCTTGTGACAGCAATTCCCGAAATCTCTGGGTCCCCTCCTTGGCCCCATCTTTGGGGATGCTGGCTGGCCGGGGCATGGCAACCGGTGATCTACCGGGTGACACGAGCGCGTCGGCTCCGTGGCTGAGGGTCTTTGAGGAGTTCTTAGGGGGAGGGGGGGGGGGGGCGGGCGCGTGGCCGTGCATACTCATTATACTCATTCAGCTCTGGCTAAAGCTTGTGGTTTGTGTGCTGATGTAGGAGACGGTGTGCGCGGAGCTGTGACAGGCTGTGGTGTCATGCTGCGACCCTCTTCTTTTGAAGCTCGATTATGCCACGGACAGGCAAAGACTGGAGTGACTGGAGGGCTGACTTGATAGCCAGGTTGCTAGGGCCCCCCGCCAAGCACTTTACATCAGGTTACAGACGGAAAGCTCAAGCCGAACTTGATGGGTGCAAATGTGGTGCGACATATCCCAACACAGCTTGTGATATAAATTACGAGAATCCTTTCTCTGTCTCAGAGTCTGTCGCTCCCTCCAAGAAGAAGACAACTGGCAAGAGTGGGCCTTGAAAAACGGAGGCCCTCAAAGAGCTGCGCTCCATGGCGCGGGACAGAGGATGAGCTGAAGGATTGTAGAGGCCTCTTTGGGTCTGAGTGGTCCGAGTGGATTGGGGAGTTTGTTGTGCCGGTTTTCGCAGGAGTTCTCGGGGGCTTTGTGGCCAACCGGCCCAAGCTTGAAAGAGCGCTGGCGCAGAGGTTTGATCGTTCTTGCGTTGGTAATTTTAGACCGAGGATCGCACTCTAAGACTGTTCATCCCGAAATCGACCCGAAAAGGTCTTGCGCCTTTTCTGCAGCGCAAAGGACCTCAACTGAACCAAGCTCTCAAACTTAGCTGGTAGCCTTTGCAACTACCCCTTTGTTCAGGAGGATTGTTCTGGAACTGGAGATATGGCAGATCCAAAGCACTGGTTCGACGTGCAAGGCTTCAAGGCCTTCCGACTTTTTCAGCGATAAAGTTCGGTCAAACTCTCCGAACTGACGCTCATATACAAACAAACATTTCCAAGGCACCACATGGAACCACCAAACTGCAGTCTACCCGAACCCACAATATGCTTCTTCAACACATCCACAGGGGAAGGGGTGCTGCATGCAAGTGACATAATCTTGTACGCAGCCCCTTCTCAGCTTGACGCCACTTCTGTGCGTTTAGCAGATGCACAAGCTTTGCGCAAAGGCCTTCGCCACACATGTGCGACGTCCATACACCTGCTTACAAACTCGTATGAATACTCTGAGCCCACGCACGAGCCAGAAACCACACGGATAACAATGTCCGCTAATCTATGCAGGGTTGGAAGCCGAACAGCCGCCTCCTCCGCGGCTACATAACCTGATCATGTAAGTACTGTTCAACGGCACAAGAACTAGAAGGAAGAGACCAAGCGTGAACAGGATCTCAGGTCTTGTGGAGGTCTTCTCTATGGTCTTCATGTGGCTCCCGCTAATTAACTCGTGGGGACGAAGGTTAACCTGGCTGTTTCTATTCATCCAAGTGGAGTGAGAAATTTAGGCTCAAGAACTGGTGGCGGACTGCGACGAACTTCACAGCTATCATTCCAAGGTTACGGCATGCAGATTGTGACCAGATTTTGTGAGTGCACCGTATTATATTGCAAAGCTCTTTGAACGCCACCGGGCGGTGGATGACGGCGCACATCTCTGGGAATTCGCACCACTGCTGCGCGGACACGGCAGGGCCACCACATCATGCGGTGGGCTCGACGGTTCACTCCCATAGGCCCAATTCCCCCACGGAAGCCCTCAGAGCTCAAAACTTGACTTGTCGTGAGGGAAGAAAGGATTTCCTGGCTCAGGGTCTGGGGGTTTTGTCCAGGTGCCCTGCCTTCCCTCAACGTTGACAGGATCCCGAAAACCGGCTCCCCCTTTTCAAGAGAATGTACAGATCAAGCCCGCAGAGGTGCCAAATCTTTTCGGGAAGTCCCCTACCGCCGGAGTGACGAACACTGGCACTTGTTTCATGCCACCAGTTGGCCGCATGCGGCTCGGGCTAGGTGCTAAGGTTTCGGGTTTGGCGGAGGGCAGATGACTCTGGGGTACAGGGGTTTCCTGAAAGTTCCCGCTGCACGATTGCTGGGGGGGTGGAGGCAAGCTGGGCTTCTTGCCCGACTGCGGTCCAACGCAAGGTCGAAACCCATTCGGTCCCAGTTTCACTCCATGCCCTGGAGCAGGGGGTTTTTTGTGGGGATGGCAGGCAGCTGGAAGACTTGGAGCCTAGGGTTCCGGGGTCATACGACTATTGTCATGAAACTGCCTAGCAGACTAGCCACACTGCAGGGTACGGTTTAGTGCCGAGAGCCGTGATGTTAAGCCAAGTCTTTCACTGCGAGTGCCCGAAGGGATTCCGGGTTCGAGTTGGAACGCTGTCGAGAGGGGGTGGCAAGTCCGAGTCACCCAGCTTACATAAGCCACGCCTCTACGAAATCACAAACTTCCGTCATTTCCTGCGCCTTCACGCCTCCCCCAGACATCTGGAACCCTCCAACAACTCTTGCAAAAAACAAAGAGCCTGCTGCATCTGCATCCAATAAGCGCCTTGCGGGGTCGCCTGAGTGGGCACAGCCTGGGCAACGACTGGGGCAACACTCCCTAGAAACGGCGCCCCTGCAATTCTGCACCCTGAAGCCCACCCCAACCTTCAAATCCACTCATCAACCCCAAGCTGCCCCCTTGAGCTGCACTAGGCTCGAGAGCTGCCCCCCCCCCAGCCCCAAGAGGCCCCAACGCCCATCTGAGGTTGGCCCATGGGCGCAACTTGCTTTCCCGCGCCCGCGGCCTGCGGCAACAGGTTTGTTTGTACCATGTTGTGCCACTGCTACGGAAAGGCGAGAGCATGGTAGGGACCCAAAACGAGGACCGCCCTCAACCTAATCCTCTTGATTTGGAACGTTGGAACCCAGAACCAAGGCCCCCAAACCCTGTCACGGAGCCTCAATCGCCTGGAGAATGAGGGAAGTGGCCTGGTGGGGAGAGGGGCACGCTGGCGTCTTGGGCTTTAGGACGCTTCAGACATTGGAGTTTCCGATGTTCGGGGGATCATTTCTGGAAATCCTGCTGATTTAATTTTGGGCTGCCGCCCAGCCGAGTGAAAGGCCCGACATCGCTCTCAACCGCCCAAAAACATGGCAACAAATGACAGGGCTCGAGACTTAACGCTACATTGCGCCCCTCTTGAACAGTAGTAATTTCACTTACTCCAAGTCCTAAACCTGAAGCCCTTTGTTACCGCAGCGCCATGGAAACGCGTAGCAGCCAAGTTGCTGCGAGCACGGACCCCATGGCGCCAGTTGCAGAGACCTGGGCAAGTACAACCTATGGGCTTTCATTCGCTTTGAGGCTTAGAGTTTGGGGCGACCCTCGGGGCTTTGGGGTTTAGGCTTCGGAGTGGTTTTGGGCTCAGGGTGTGGCATTCGAAGAGGGCTCGGCCCAAGCCAGACGCCCAGCCTGCCACCTCAAGCCGAACCCCCAAACCCTCAACATCCCTAAACGGCCCAGGAATGGCAGACCAGTTTGCCCGAAGCCCAAGGCATTGAGGTGGCCGGTCTGAGCTTTCAGCTAAGCGATCTCCATGGATCTCCTCACGCTCGACCTTGCGCTTGGCTCACTTCACGTGGAGTCTGGCCTTGTTCCTTCAAACCAATTCCTGGAGCCCCTTCAGCATGCCTGAACTCCGAGTCCACACTGGTCCCGGATGGCCTCTCACAGGTGGTAGGGCTTGGACGCATTCGTTCATGAAGTGAGTTCGGGTTGGGGGTTTTAAAGATTCTCGCACTCGCTGGCAGGCAACAATAGGGCACAGATGCGGAAGGGTTTAAGGTTTTCGGGTGTCGGGTGGTTCCAGAAACCTCGGGGTGAAGGGCACAGGGCAGACATGAAGACAGCTAGAGGTACGATTCTAAAGGCCTCTGCTCTGCCCTGTGATCCCGGGTCAACGTAGGTGCGTTCGGGTTATTCTGCTCTAACGCCTAGAATTTTGAAAACATGTAACTATTCGCTGCACAAGTCAGACCGCTCACTTAAGTCAGCCCCTGCCTTCAAAGTGGACCCTTGTCTGCCGATGACCGCGCCAACCATGGGCCCAGGCACCAGAAGCTTGAGCATGGTGTTCTCGGCGGGTTTCGAGGGAAGCTTGGGCGCTGGGTCTAAAGATGGCAACCTTATGGGCTCCATGGGTTCCAGGACCTCCAGGCAAGGGTCAGGTCTTGGCTTTGGGACGAAGGGCTTCTTTGGTTTACTGGCATGTTGATCTTCTAGGCTAATTATAGAGGCTGGAGAGCTTGGCGGCAATGTGCCATCTGCAAGTTCCAGGTTGCGAAACGCGGTTGAGCTTGTGATGATACATGGTGAAAGACACGAGGGAGGACATACCTGATACGTCCTTGTTCCAGGTAGATCTTGGGAACTGCAAGTAAGCTATGGGATGAAGAAGCATAGCTGCGACCTGCTGTCACTTTGCAAAATGCGAGAAAATCTAAAATGAAAGTAGCACTACAACCTTTCAACCCGAAGCTGAAACTGTAAACCCTAGAAACACTAAACCCACCAGATCCCAGGGCACAGGGGTCAGGTCCTGTCTATTTTGGCTGGAGTTTCCTTTTGGGGGGGGGGCCCTTGTGGTGCCCAGACCCTAACTGGGGGCAGCGCGAGCTGGTCTTTGTCAAAGGCCGCCTGCATCACCTAGGCTTCTGGCAGTGCGAAGATGTTTTTGCTTTGTATGTGGGGCAAGAGTGTTCCTGTGCAATGTTTGGCATCCGGACAGTTACCTCAGTTTGGACACCGTCCTACGTCCTACGTCCTACGTGCACAAGCCACCATGGCCCGGGGAGCTGAGTGCCGGTCCCTGGCTAGCGCCGCTTCCCTGCAGGCGGCCGGACCCCTGATGGTGACCAGGCCTGGGAAGGACAGGTGAGGCAAGGTCTTGGGCAGCATCATGGTGTGATGTGGTGAAGGCTCGGGCTTTCTGCTACGAGTATCACAAGGTGCTTTGTGCGCAGGCTGATCATCTTAGAGCTCATTTCTGCAAGCCGCCAGGAGGGGCCCGCAGAGCAGCCACAACATCAGCTTGCATGAATGCTGCCCCAGCCCTGGCCCTTCATGCCATGCCTCAAGCCAACTTCACCTTCAAAAGCCTCCAAACGTCCGCGAAACTCGTGCCCAGGGCGTTGCGCTCTGTCAGCAGATGTGGTGTCTGCACCTGACAAAGCCGGCGCTTGGTTCGGCTGATCGGGGGGTAAGTGGTGTTGGGGCGGCAGCAGATTAAAGAAGATCCTCTGGAGGTTCCATGCCAAGTCATCTCAGGCTGCAAAGAAAGAAAAAAGAAACAGGGAAAGTTTGGGAAAACCACGTGCCACCCTTTGTCTTAGGATGGTTTCAGCACCTGCGGCAGGATTTCCAGGCTTGCACCGCAGCCTGAGGGTCCCAATAGGCTTCATGCAGCACATCTCGTGAGACTTTCTTCTGGAGACAGGCAGTCCAACAAGCCCACAAGCACCGCGGCGCGCTTTCTCACATCCGAAGAAGAGAGCATGGCATCTTGGGGAGCCGTCGGGTCTGGAACCCCTTTCTTTGGCAACCCCTACTTCATGAAGACAACCTGCTGCAACTTGCTGCAAGTGGCAACGCGCAAACACTCAAGCACCATACTGGGGCCGCAAGCTCTCGCGTATTTGCTTCAGAACCGAGCCCTGCTTGCCAATGATGGAGCCCGCGCTGGCAGAAGGCCTCAAAGCTGCTTTCGTGCTGCGTGTGACTCCCCACACGTCAGCAATCCCAGCAAGAGAGGTTCGGCAGCAAGCTGTAAAGTTGCGCGTTGCCCTGGAACCCCAGAACCTTAAACCTCGACGGTTGGTCGCTGAGCTATTGGCACCAACAGTTTCGTGGTTCCCTCGCCGGGCGCAGGTTGCGCCATCATCCGAGGCCGCTTCATCTGCGGCAAGGGCCGATGTGTTTGTGTCGCGGCGCCACTTAGTCAATCCTACACTGTCCTACACCTTAGCGTAGCAGTCTAGCGGTCCTGTGACTGTAAAGGCAAACAAAGAGCCCCTCAAGCCTCAAGCCATCTCAAACCCACCCTTGCGGGGCCTCAGTGAAGGCCCCCGGCACGGCCGGGGCCTGTGCCGCATCCGGTGCTTTGTTCAAGGTCCAGGGATGCAGGTCGTGGAAACCAGCTGTCTTTTTTCTGGGCACGCGAACATCCCCGACCGCCCAACCAGCTTGGGTTTTGCGACTCGGGTATTTCGTGGTCGGAAAGGTCAGGCAGCCAGTTGGTCCGAAAGGTCTCCAGCCTCTGGCCCCGAAATCATATCCAAGCCAGGATTCTCTCGACCCGCAAACACCCTCCCCAAACTGAAAATCCCAAAGGCACATGAAGCTAGACAACCGCGGTCCTCGCCCTCCTCAGCGAAGCGCTTTGCACCGTTGCTGCGGTCCTCGCCGGCCGCCGGCTGTGGGTGCAGCAGCACCTGGAAAAATGTGCCCAGTAGAAGGTCGAACAGGGGAGTTGTGCTGAGCCGCTGGGCCCGCTAGGCCAGTGCCTAGTTGATGAAGGCAGGAACCGTGCAACCCGGCATCCCTAAACCACCGTGATTCCTCTCGGAGGGACTGCCAAAGCTCCTAGCCTTCAACCCCCCTCCCAACTCGCTAAGCGCTGAACTCAGCACCCTGATCACAATAGACAAGATTCAAAAATCAAAGCCGCATAGGAAGTAAACAACAACATGCAACAATCCCTTCCATCCGAAGCCGCTGGAGGCGGCCTGCTCCTGGATCTGTTTCTCTGCCATGAGGATGGACTCAAGTGGCCTCCAGAATTTGGGTACGCTTTGTCGGATGCAAGGCAGGCGCAGCGTTAGCGGCGGTTACGGTAAAATGCAGGACCTCATGAGACAACACCTCTAACCCCCGAAACGCTTTGAAGGGCCGTGAAGCTAAGCTGCAACGAATCTCCCAAACCAGAAAGCCATGCCGTCCTGCCACATCCTGTCACATCCTGTCGCCTCTTCCCCCCTCGTCCCCTTTAAACCCCTCTTGCTTGCACAAGGGCCGATCCCACGGCTAAAAGCCTTCTCCTTCTAACCTCAACTCCAAACCCAAAGCAAACCCTAACTTCGGCCCGAACCCGTGCCAAGACCCTCGAACTCTCGGACTCGGAGATGTCCTTCCCTCTGGACCCTCTGAGGTCAGAGCCCGACTAAATTGCAAGGCCGGAAGCCTGCATCTTGCGGACAAAAGCCGAGAGAGACGCGAAATCGGCGAAATCATTCAATGATGCGTGAATCATCGTGAATCGCTTCTGTCGGGGCTTCGGTTGGCTTCGGCACGCGACACTTTTGGTCGTTCCACTGGTTCGGAGGACTCCCTTGTTTCTCTTCCGGGCATCTCTGAGGGCCAAGGGTTCCTGTTGGTGCACGCGTAAGCTTGCAGGTAGGCTGTTCACAACAGGGCTCGTCTCCGAGCTTCTGAGGTCTGATCCCCTGCCCTGCCCGCGGCAAGAACACGCTGAGCTCCAAAACACCATTCCATATCTGGAAAAGGGAGTGCTAGAACCGGCAAAATGAAACCCCCTCCCGAGGAACAAGTCGAAGACACAGGTCCCGACGCCGGCCGCCTTCCACGACTTCCCGGGAAAGGGTCACCCTCAAACCCAGCCTGAGGCTTGGCTGGACTTAAGGCGTGTTGGGCTTTGGGAGGGGCTTTATGGGATTTGCAGCTGGGCCGTCTTGGAAGATGTGCTGCAGGCACACATGGCACACCTTGACAAAATCTCGAAAGGCCCATGGTTTGCATGCACGAAGAACGGACGTAGAATGTCACAGAACGTCAAGTGCCACCCATGCAGGAGCAGCCCCAAAGCGTCCTACTTCACGAGAAGAAGTGCAGCAGCCGAGAAGGGAAGCCTCTGAGAACGCCCAGCAGCCCCAACTCAGATGGCTCGAAGCGCCAACTCCACAAGAAATTTTTTGAACCTCCTAAGCCCACACCAAATTCCCCCCCCCCTATCAGGGACGGCACTGGTCGCGAAGCTGCTTGAGGTGGGCACCCTGCTTGGGTCTCTTCGGTGCAGTTCAGGTCTTGGCACATATCACAAGCAACATCGACCTCGTAAGTTATGAGATCACCTAAATCAAGGCCTAACGTGTCGGCAGCTTTTCATGAGGTAGGATTCTCTCTGCGAGCTGAGGTTTAGATTCAGGTAGTCGATTTCAAGCCAGCTGAACCGACTCAGGTTGTTCGCGGGTTCCTGGCCTCCTTGCCAATCACCGCTCCTGCCGCATGCTGCGGAACCTGCCACAGGTGGAAGGGGCTCAGGCCAAGACGATTTCCCGAAAGATTTGCTAGGCCCTTGGAGCTTCTAGTTCAGGTCTCATGTGCAATTGTCATCGGGCGGCTTAGGCTTAAGTGCGCCATGCCAATACTGGAGTGATGGCACAGCTCCTGAGGCAGCAGCCATGAAGATGATTGTGAGGTCCTTCACCTGCCAATAGGCAACAGTTCTTGCAGCACCCCGGCCGTGCCGAGAGCTTGCTCCAGTCGTAAGTAGGACGCGCAGGCGGCAACATGCGCTGATGATAAGTGAACAAGATTTCTGAGGGCTCCGGGCAATCGTGCACTTCCGAATCTTGCATTATTTTGCTTGCTGGCCGCCGAAACTTGAAAAGCGGCTGATTCTATCGCCCTTGGAATTAAGACCGAGACCGAAATCCTGCATCATGGGCTGCGGCTTAGCATCCGAGTGCTCGGAACTATAAGAGCTACGGAGTAGTTCTAAGGTCCTAGAGTTTAAGCTTCGCTTGCAGCGCCCGAAAAAAGTCTCGACACCTCCTCCCCTGCCCCCTGCGCAGCAGTCAGGGCCAACTGGTAGACCTCAAGACAGGGCTTAGGGATGTTCGGAGGGCCTGAGTTTCCACATGTTAGACTCAGGATCAGCCGCTACATGCAAGTGAACGTCTCCAGCAGTGGCCCAAGCTCCAAAAACTCCAAAACTCACCTCTGCAAACTCCTGAGCCACCAGCGGCCCGCTGTGCATTCGCACACTCGTCGAAGCCTGCCGGCCCGAGCAGAGGCTCACGCACTTGGGAGGGATGATCTGATCAATAGGTTTAGGGTTTAGGGTTTAGGGTTTAGGGTTTAGGGTTTAGGGTTTAGGGTTTAGGGTTCAGGGTTTAGGGTTTAGGGTTTAGGGTTTAGGGTTTAGGGTTTAGGGTTTAGGGTTTAGGGTTTAGGGTTTAGGGTCCAAACATTGTCACACAACTCTGATGCAAATGAACAGCAATGCAAGACTCGTGTAGCCGATGGATCCAAGCACAGCAGTAACACAATGGCTTATACTTGCTGAAGGTTGGCGGCTATTTTTGCTCGCTCCAATTCTGGAATTCGACCCACACGATTTGCCATCAACTGAACTGTTGACTCAAATTCTACAACCAGCGGCGTCACATAACCCAAAATCACATCTTTATAATAGAAACTTAGAACATTTTGACCCACTGGAGTATACAAATTTTGATAACGAAAGACAATCATTGCACACTGTGGAGTCAGGTCAGTAACTTACATTACATGCCACATTAAGCATACGGAGAGGCCGCTTTGCTTGGCTGACTCCGTTCCGCAGGCCCTTGTTCAAAGCCTGAGCCTGAAGCATTTCTCAGAGCCAAAAAACCATGTGGTCCTCAAGATAGCTACGGCTAGGGGAAAAACACACGGCTGAATCAACCTCGGAAGAAGCGGACGCGGCTTCGGAACATGCAGCCCCGCCCTGCAAGGCGAAATGACGAAGCCCCAGAAGGACGCCGGGGTTGGGGGGACTGAGGGCTAATAATGACATGCTTAGAGTTCCAAAACAAACCCCCGAAACCTTCAAGTTTAACGATAGACCAAACACGCTGGCAGCAAACTATCACGTCCCCCCCCTCCCACCAACCCCTCCCCAAAGCCCGAACACAATCCCCCAATCCTAAGGACCTAAACTTCCAAACCAGCCCTGACCTCCCAGGACAACTACACGGCGGTCACCGGGGTTTCCCGGGTCCCTCCTTGTGACCTGGGCGGGAAGCATGCTACGCCAGGGTTCGTGCATTGATTCGGACTGTATCTCTCGGACAAGATTTGTGAGGTGCTTCAACTGACCTGGAATCCTACGGGGCACCTGCGCCCTCCCGGACACCGGCGACGATGCCCGAGCATCTGGACCGGGAAGATCGATTTGCGTCGAAGGCCGAGGCCCCAACAGACACGTTGGCACAGCCAGTGTCTGTCGTTATTTGCCTTGCGAGCTGGGGTGTACACGGGCTGAGACAGCGCTCTAGGGCCACACAGGGATTCGGACAGGCTGGGAGCGCTTGCGTCGACATGCGCAGAACCCTAACTTCGCTGAATCTCCTCAGCTGCCGCGGCCTCAGGGTGCCCTCAACCGAAGAAGAAGTACCGTGAGACCTTCATCTAAGGGCCTCTCGATCCCAACCCTGTTGTCAAGCAGTTGCTCAGCCATTTCGTGGCATTCAACCCATGAACTGAAGGCAAAGACCTGATGCAGCTGAGGCCCACGCTTGATTTGCGCGCCCTCCTTTCCGAGGATAGCGCCTACGTACCTTGGACGTGCAACTTCGCCAACGCTTCATTCTCCGATTCCAATATCACCCGTTCCAACATGTTACAACACCATCATGACACCGGAATGACACCAACCACTCCCGTCACGGAGAAAGAACATGCCAAGGAACTTTGGCGAAATCACCATGTGTACTTGCATCTCGTTAGCATCGCCGCTGCCGCGCTTGACCTTGCCGACAGGAAGGTGGGGTTTAGGGGCTCATGGGCTCAAGAAGCAACAAACTGGGGTTGAGAGGTTGTTCGTTGCATTTTGTGACTTGACAGTGCTTGCGCGTGCCTTGCCCTGCAATGGATAAGATTCCCCAGACGGAAAGCCTGCACTAAACAGCACAGCCCCCTTGCACAATGCCACACAATCGCTTCCACGCGACTCCAGTGAGTGCCGTCGGCGCCTGCAAAGGCAGCATGGACCTAGGTGCGTGTTGAGGAGCCGGCTTTCGAGTTTGGAGTCTCGGCTTTGGCTCTCTACATGGTTTTGGGAGGCTGTCGAGTCTCAAAGATCCTGACAAAACCCCCAATCCCCCTGGCCAATCCTGGTCGCATTGACATCACGGTCCCAAGGGCATGGGCGGACTTGTGCCCTGCATCGCCTGCATCGGCATGTGCTGCGGCCTCGGCTTTGTGCGTAGGATTTTCAGACCGGAGCCTCGAACTCAACACTTTGGACGTGGCGGGGGTTGAATTCGCACTCGGGCAGTGCAAAATAGCAAGGAAACATCAACAAATTGAAGGCGGGCGGCTGGCCATGGGTTGTATTTTTGCCACCCGACTAGCCACAGCCATGGGTTATTGGGCTCAAGGGCTTTCGACCTCCGCGCTCAATGCCGCCCGGTGGCTGCATCGGCTGCTGACCCAAGCCACCACTATAGTACGGAGTCCTCGGATTTGATGAATACATGCTGACGTTCAGCGTCCGTCTTTTTGCACTCCGGGCTTTCAAATCTCGACATGTGCCTTAAGCAGCTTCGGGGACGCAATCTCACGATTTGGACTCTGCCTGAGTGCGTCCCGCAGACGGGAACTGGCTGGCGAGAGGTCAAGAATCGATACAAGAATCCGAACGCTCCAGGACTGGAAGCTCTACAACCTCAAACTGAAACTGGGGCCCTAGGCCAGCCTCCTGACTGACTCCTGACCCTACGAAGACTCGAAAACGCAGCAATCTGAAAAGCTCCTGTAATCTACATACACCACAGAATCTCAAACCACATTTCCGTCCATGTGTCGATCTCTGCTGCGCAGCCGGCATGTTGCCAGCTGAGGCAGAACCGACCTCGTGCCACTCAGACTGTAGCACTTCCCCCTTCCCTACCTTTCCTCTCTCTCTCTCTCTCTCTCTCTCCCTGCCTCTTCCTATCGATAGATGTGGGTTCAAAACGGCCATGTGCTCACGCTCTGGCTTGGGTACTGGACATGGCAGACTGTTGGGTGAGGCTCGACCCGCCCCAATTCCCAACCCCAGTAAGTCGACTAACCTCCTCCCTTGCCAGAAGCAATCAACACATCCAACACCCCGAGGCACCATCGCTGGGCCTGATTACAGGCACTACAGGTCCTAAGACCTAAGAGCCCTTCAAGTCACCAAACATAGCCACGGATTCTCTGCCGCATGCAAAGAGTCGTCCCTGCCCCGGCATCCCCTGATCCCCTGGGCCCGGCACAGGACCCAGCGCTATCCGAATCGCTGCTCCCAGCCTTTGCTGCACTTGTAGAAACCCTCTGCCTCAACCCGATTCTTGCGGCCTGCAAGGCACTTCATTAGTGCCCTCACCCTGGACCGTCGAAGCATCGGAACTGCAAGCCCTCAGCGAAGCGGCTGGTTCTGCACGCCCACAAGCTGCCCGACCCGGTCGCCCTGACCAAGGAGCTTGGAGGTTTGGATCTGTTCAGTTGCAGGGATTTAGCAATATTTGGCAATCGAAATTAGGTTGCCAAAAAGCACTGAGAGGGAGCCACGCTTGAAGTGAGAAAATGAAAGTTCTGGCTTGTTTTGGGTGGCGTTCTTGCAGGTGCCAAGGAAGCTTTAAAGTGGGGGCCGGGCACGCACATGGGCTTCTGGAGCAGGCCTGGTCGCTCATCACATCCTTCATCAACTGTAAGTTTGCGCCGGTCATGTCTCGGATGCGCTTGAGGTTTTCCGCGCCTGCCACTGCCAAACTGCCAAAAATCTAGGGGCCTTGACGGGGTCACCTGAGGCTTCAGAGTTTGCGGCTTCAGGGTAGGGAATGGACATTGGGCTTGGGCTTGGGCTTTGCCTCGTCTGAACTGGCTCTTGCCCTACATCTTGCAAAAGCTGGGCAAACCTCAGGAGCAAACCGTGGAAATCCTAATTTCATCGAAACTCCCAACGCAACGGAAGATGGCCTGATGACTTGGTAGATGCATCCATCGGGCGAGCCCCACTTGGTTAGGGGGAGGGGTGTGTCGAGTTTGGAGCTTAGGGCTGAAGGGAATCCTGCCTTTGCCGATGACTTGACCCACATACTCGTTGGGGAAGGCAACGAAGAGCTTGCACTGGACCTGAGATACGGAGAATTGTGTGCTCTAAGCCGGTTTGCAAACATCAGAGGGCCATGTTTTCTGCTTTTTGGGGGAGGGGATGGAGGGGTGGAGAAGGCGAGGCTGCTAAGAAGCCCTCAAAGCCCTCAAAACCCTCAAAGCCCTCAAAGCCCTCAAAGCCCTCAAAGCCCTTTTGCTTCCCGCCTGCGAGGAAGCCGTGAAGCCAAACATACCCCCAAACCCTACAAACCCAGAAGAAAGGCAAACCCATTCTAAACAGAAAGACTCCACCCCTACCAACCCCTAATCCGCCCCCGCCTCCAAAATAACAACAGCGACAACAATCACCATCTAATACTAACAAGAATCATGATAACAATTAGAAGTACTAGAAGGACAAAAATTCTCCGTCAAACCATGTCAAACCCCAAACCTCAAAACCCGAAACTGCTAACCTCACGGGCGACAGAGCGCACTCGCCATTGAGAAGTCATGAGCTTGAGGCCCCTAGAAATACTTTCAGTCAGTCCGTCTTGCAATTCTTGGAGAACTGATTCCCCATCATTGATACATTCTCCATTCTTGCCTGCTTTCGCACAACCAAAAGGTTCTTTGGTCTGGGAGTCCGGCGGAGTCTCCAGGCTCGAAAACACGAGAAGCTATCCTCAGACCAAATAAATTCACAAACGGGAGCCATACAAAATCGTACAAAACATCAACCTTGGGTGCGAGATGTATGCGACTACGGCCTCCCGCACCTTTTCTTTTCTACTGCTGAGGCCAACTCGCATGCACCGCGCTGGCAATGTGCTCCACCGTCGGACCACTCACGTCACATCTGCGATTTCCTTGAGAATCAGGCTCTTGACCTGCAGAGCCGATGAGCCGATCATACAAGCAGCGCAAATCACAAAGAGCAGAACAGCAATCTCGCCCATCGTGGGAGCAGGAAACTCCAAGCGGGACTCCCTCGTACTCCGAAGTATGGACAAGCAAGCTGTTTGCCAAAACCCACAAGATCCCCAAACTCATCGACACGCCCGCATCTCGACGCTTGAAATACCGCCTCCCCTTTGCTGTTCGCCCCCTTGGCACCAGGCCGAGCTTGATGTTGCACTGCGACATCTCCCGGACTTGCTTCAGGCCCATGCCTGGAGCAAGGAGGTGTTCAAAAGCACTTTAAGCGCCTTTTTGCTCGGCGGATGCTATCATCCGCAAAGCCCATCTCGAAAGCATTCCAGCACACCCCATGACAGCTGCTTGAGTGACATTGCTCCCTGGCCTTGCTTGCCGATGAGCTTCCCAGCATCATTGCCTCATGCCGACTTGGACAACAAAATGCCAGCTGCCAGAAAAACCCTTCCGCTTTCCCTCAACCCAAACAAGCCCCAGCGCCCTTCGGCTGATTTGAGTAAGTCGGCACTAGCCTTGAGTCCACACCTAGACAGGTTCATCTCGGTACGCAACATCTTCAAGGAAACTGGATGGGCCAAGGCGCTGGGTATGAGGACACCCATCTTCAGCCCCCCGGGAGCTTCCATCTTCAGCCCCCCGGCAGCTTCCATCTTCAGGTCCCCGCGGGGGGGCCCCCCCCCCCAAGGCCTAAACCTACGCGCTGACCACCCCCTGAGTGCAGAGCCGAAAATCGGCGGAAGCTTCGTGGCATTGGGGATGCTTGGGGCTTGGGGGTTCGTGTGATTGGAGCAGCAGCTGCTCTTGGTCTCTTCTTCTACACGGCGGAATGGAACTTTCTGCTTCTTCTTCTTCGCGCTTTAGGACCTTAGGATATCTCTCTCTCTCTCTCTCTCGCTCTCTCTCGTCTCTGTGTCGCCGTGTGAACACCCTGCTGCGCTGTGAAGAACAAACCCCGAACTCCAGAAGCGAATAGCAAATTGCCTAAGCAGCAGCTCCCGGACACCTTGAGAAGCCTTGGACCCGCCGAGCCACAACGCCTCTGCAGCCGCCAGGCTACAGCCGTGCAGGCCATCACGCTGCAAGGCTACAAGATGACTTCTGGGCTGCTTGGCGGATTTGAGAGGCTACGTCCGCCACGCAGGGCGCAGTGAAAGGTGCTGCTCTCACCACCGCATGCCGAAGCAATAGACGTCAGGGCTCTCCACCTGCAAGATGCATTGGAAACAACAACATGGATGTCAACCATACAGCAAGCTCTGCTAGCTTGTGTACGAATATGAACTTGGCTCCATGTAAGTAGAGTGCCAGATTTCGTGAACGGCCCAATTCGCATCGATGGGAATCTTCGTAACTGGCACGGCAAAGCAATCATGGCACGATGCATCAAATCAACACCAAGAGTTTCACAGCAGCATGGCAACCACGAAGTATCCACCCCTTTGTTGTTCCACTTGCAGCTTGGGCCAGCCCCATCCCGACGGCAAATTGCCTTGGCACCATCGCCACCCTGCTCAAAAGCACCTGTACATCCATCTGTACACACCGGGCTCCAAAGAAACAAGCCTGGCTTCTGGAGCATGGGAAGCGACGTAGGCTTCGCCTGGCCTTGCACTGTACAATCGCTTCAGCTGAGAGAGATTCAGCCAAGGGAAACTGCAGCAGCAAGCAAGTACTTTTGATATCCAATATCCAGCAGCACTGAGTCAAGTAGTGGCTACCCACTGTCAGACCACGCCAAACTTCGAAGAACCTTGCCCTTGTAAGCCTCAAACTCGCTCCCAAAGCCCTCTGAGCCTCTGCCGGAGCGGGCAAGCTTGCCCGCTTTAATGGTCCAAAGCTCAGTACACACCTCCTTCAGGAAGGCCTGGTTGTGGCTAACGATCACTACTGCTCCCGGGAAGACTTTCAAAGCGGCTGCCAGTGAGTCCAGCGTCTCGATATCGAGATGATTGGTAGGCTCGTCCAGAAGCAGCAGATGCGGCTTGAACCACAAAGCCCCAGCAAAGGCCAGGCGAGCCTTCTGGCCACCCGACAGGGTTCCGATCTTCTGCTTCGCGAGCTTGCCGCCCAGGCCAAAATTGGCCAAGTAGCCAAAGAGCTGCTCATCGCGGGAGGCATTGGACAGGGCAGAAGGGTCTTGAAGTCCTGGCTCCGGCGCTGGCAGCTCCTTCCGCAGCCAGTCCAGGCAGACTTTGTCAAGGTGTTCCTCCAAGCACTCCAGGTGGTGCTGCGACACATGGGCAACCTTCAACTTGGGGTGGCGGGTGGCCTTGTTCTCAGGCCACTGGTGACCTTCGAGCCACCGCAGCAGCGTGGTCTTACCCGCGCCGTTGCTGCCCACGACAGCCACGCGGCTCCGAGGCTCAAGCAAGAGCTTCACGTTGCTCAGGATGCAGCGGTTGCCCTCACGCATGTAAGAGGCACCGTCCAACTGCAAGAGGGCTCCCTGGAGCAGCTCAGGCTCTGGCAGCTTGATCTGCATCTTCTCTTCAGAAACAAGGACCTGAGCTGCAAGCGCCTTGATGTCCACGGTCTTGCCATTGAAATCTGCCAGCTCCAAACGGCCGTATGTCTTGGACTCGCCCGAGCTGGACACTTTGCCATAGAGCTGGACCTCACGCTGCTTGGCCTGCCGGAGCTTGTTGGCATCCTTAGCAAAAAGCAATCGTTTCGCTTCTCACCTTTAGAGGTCTGGTTGCAACCAAGCAGCAACTTGCCAGCAACTGGCCCTACAAAGTTGCCCCAAAATTGCCCAATGTTTTGCCCAAAATTTGCCTAGCATCACCCTCCTTGCCCTTCTTGCAGGCGCTCTGGCGCATGTGCTGGATCATCTCCTTGGTCCGCTCGTGCTCGCGCTCGTTGGCCTCCAGCTTTGCACTGACAGCACTGCGCTCCTGCTCCCGCATCTCGGCCCACTGGCTGTAGTTGCCGGGACCTTGGCGGATCTGCTTCTGCCGAATCTCCACGATATCGGTCACCACCGTGTCCAAGAAAGCACGATCGTGCGAAATCATCAGTAGCATACACGTCGGATCGAGCTTGTGCATGAGGAACTCTTGCAGCCAAAGCACTCCTGTACTCCCCGCACCCCAACAACATTTTCCTGCACACAAGGCTCAATCCCAAAGTTAATAAAGTTAAACCTTCCTACTCAGTGTCGCTGCTGCACTCCTGCCAAGTCCAGGTGATTAGTCGGCTCATCCAACAGCAAGCCTGGGCATGAGCTCTTGCAAACAGAACCTGAAAACCTGGCAGTCCCAACGTAGCAAAGCAAGACTAAAGCAAAATGAAAGGCAAGATGGAGCAAACGCGTTCCTCAAAAGCAGGTAAAGAAACAGTCGGCCCGCGAGAGCAGGGCTTGCGCCAGCGCAAGGCGCATCTTCCAGCCACCTGGGGCACTGTAGCTTCAGGCACTTCGGGGGTTCAAGTTTTAGGAACAAAGCGCTCCTGGCACTTTCTGCAACTCAGACCAGTTTGTTTTTCCTGGTTTTGGGCTTTTGGGGCTTCAAAGTTGCAGAGTTTCTTCCTTTTTCCCGCCACCTGACAGGGCGCGGGTGGGGAGATCCAGCATCTCGGCCGTAAACTGTAAGCCCAGAAGCACCAGCCGGGCATGGCCTTCCAAACCTGAGTGGCCGAAGGACTGCTCGATTTCATCCAATCGCTGCACCACTTCTAGGAATGTCTCCGCCAGCTCCGGATCGGAGCTCCGAGCCTCCAGGCACTTCTCCAATCGATTTCGCTCATGCACGAGTGCCTTGTACTCCGCATCGCCCATGCATGCAGTTTCCAAGACGGTTTCATCGCTTCCCACCAACTCCTGGGCTACATAGCCGTACCGAAGCGCCGGCGGACCTGGCAGCTGTCTGCGGGCAATGCGTCTCAGCAGCGTCGTCTTACCACAGCCGTTGCGCCCGATCAGCCCGTAGCGCCGACCACGCATGATCTTCAGAGAGGAGCCGCAAACGAGGTCCTTCTGGCCTTGATCAGTCACGATGCCAAGGTGGACACACGGCAGCGTGATGTCTCTCGACGCCTCAGCGTTCTTCAGCCGGTGCCTGCCTATTCTGCCCCAGCAAACAGCAAAGCTATCGAAGGCATCCAAGCCATCCTCTGTCTCTGCCGTGCCAAAAGCCGCAACATCCTCAAGGTGCCGAGCATTCACCAGACTCTCCTGGCTCTCCCTCTTCTCCGACTTGTTCTTGCTCTTTGCCTTGGCCTTGGCATGTCGCCTCTCCATCTTGCTCAATCTGGATACCTTCGTGGCTGCAACATCGGGCTCGGGGTCTGCATCTGCTCCCTCCCCTGTGCTGCTCAGTTTCGCTGAGCGCACGGACGGCTCATGGGTTGGGGCTGTGGCGCTGCACTTCTGATCCTGTGCTGCCAGAAGGCGGAGTGCATGCAGGGCACCCTCCGGCAGGAAGGGCTTCGCTGCATTCACTACACCCTCGCCGCCGCATTCGTCGAAAACAGAAGAGAGATAGTTCGCCACTTCTGCGTTCAGCTCTTGCGAAACTAGGAACTGCTGCAGACGCAGCAAAGTCAACATGCTCACCAAGTCCACGTGTCACGTGTGCGTTGAAGTAGCACCAAACTAAAAAGATCAGCTGCTTGGGCCTGGTGCCACCCGCATCCATCCTATCAGTTAGATTCTTTGTGGCTGTACAGGTGCGGATAAGTACCGACCAGTCTAGGATGTAAAAGATACCTCTCCAGGCGGGGGGACGCTTTCCATCTCAATCCTCTTCAACATTGCATGCCACGTTGCGCGCGAAATTTCTGCGAACGGTCCGGCACCAGCGAGAATTCTGTGAGAAAGGCATGTGAGCCTTTTAAAGGTCACATCCCTGCTAGTTTTCTGTAGGCGAGGTCGATGTTCGAAAACAGTGGCAACCACATTGCCTTTTCATGTAGGCACTTACTCCCTCGTGTGAGGGAAAATCAAATTCTTTCTCTCCTTGTTCAGGCAGCCGAGCTTCAGAAGGAAACGCGCATTAAAGCATGAGGTATGCTGATGCTTTCAGGGTGCCCGAGACGGACTGCACGTCCTGGCTCGACACCAACCGCCCAAAACTCGAAACACAGGTCCGTGAAACCAACTAACAAAAGAAGGCCATTTAGAACCCACAAACATTCCCAAACCCACCATTTCTAGGTCTGAGGGACAGCGAAAGCTAAACAAACAAAACCCCCAAAAAAGCAGAATGCCCAAGGCCTCCAGGCCCTCCATGGCTTCCATAGAAGCTTCGACGTCAAATTCAGCTTTTAGTTTTTGAGTTGCGAGCCGGGCTGCGCGAGGGGCTTCCATAGGGTTTGAAGTTGCAGGCACAATTCAGGCTGAAGCTGCGGGCTTTTGTTTCGGATTTCTTTCTGTCGACAAGTTTAACTGCGACCATGTTAATCTGCTGTGCCGCAGGACTACTCCACTCCGAATCTGAAGGCCTGACAGCCACGTATGACGCACCAGACATGACGGACCCTGAAAACTGGTCTTGTCGCAAACACAGCACCAATGATCTCAGCACATCCCTGCTGTGTTGCTACGAGAGCAAAAAAAATAGCGTCATCTGCAAAGCGCAGATCCGTTAGAGCATGTGCGCCGGCTTGTTGTCCCTTGCTTCCTCCAAACTGCACAAAACAGACGAGGATCACCACGCATCCTTGCCGAACTCCAACTCTGATCGAGGAGCATTGGCTGGATTCATTTAGGTGTCGTCACGTGGCCAAAGAGCTTGCCATAACGACTGCCCGACACGATCAAAAATCTTTGAAAGATCAACAAGCTTGGCCGTTGCAGGCTTGGCCAACATCCAGCAAGGCGTCTCTTCCAAGTGGGTGGAAAATCATAGCCAAAATGGTTGAAAGCTACACTATCTACCTTGGGACATGTTAGGCACTCGCCCATCAGCTGTGCCACGACTTCCTGAGTTGATATCAAAGGAATTGAGTAATGGGCCGACAGCACGCACATTGATGCCACAATGTCCGGCAGTTGCTTGCGTTTTGCTTTCGAACGTACTAGTGTGAGTCGCCGCGATTCTGTATGTTGCTCAGAATGCACTTCTGATGTGGAAGGTCAGAGGACGTCTGCCACGTGCAACACCACATGGTTGGCGAGCTCTCTTGTTCTCAGTCATGTTCAGGGATTCCAGTCCCAAACCCCTCCAATCAGCCCCAGTGTCAGGCTCGGGCATGAGAAGCGCGTGGAACATTCATGAAACCCAGCTCATGAGCGCACACGCGTGCGTCTTGTGACGATGTGCACCGGCTGCGAAGTTATCGATGGGCAGCGGTTTCAAATCTTGTCGCCGCATGTCGGCTGTGACTAGGCGCAGGCTTTTGGGCAGCTTATGCGCGAGCCAATTAATAGGTTTCGAACGGTTGGGGGAATCTACTGGGAGAATGCTTAAGGAAAACGAGACATTTCATTCACTCACCTCTCCTTTGAAACTTTTCCCAGCATGTCCGGGCATCCTTCAGCGGCTGGTCTCTTTGCAGCTGCTTGCACCATCCCTGTTGGACGTTTGGGAGCCTAGACTGTGATACGGAATTTCTGAGCAGCAACAAACTTTGGTGCTGCTCGCAAACTATGCTCGACGAGTATAAACCCCAAAGCTGCGCATCGAAACCAGCCACGCACCATATCTGTGCATAGAACCACACCACAAAGACAGCCTTGGCGCAACCACCTCTTCTTGTGGCTCATCCCCCAGCTCGCCGACACTTGCGGCCTCGTGGATGAGGGCTTCACAAGTTTGGGTTTGTTTGCCAGCGCCTCATAGCAAGAGCCCTAAACCTAAACTAAACAAACCCTAAACCCTAGACAAACCCTAGGTCGTAAACAAGCCTAAACAAACCCTTTTAAGCACGGACTGAGGCTGCCGGCAACACCTAAACAAACCCTAAACACCAAACCCTGCAAACCCAATATCCTGAACAAACCTCAAACCCCAAAAAAAAACCAAGCAAACCCTAAACACAAACCCATAGCACTAAACTCGAAAGAAACCTTAAACCCTAAACTTGAACAAACCCGAGACCCTAAGCAAACCCTAACCCTAAACAAACCCAAAACGCTTAACAAACCTCAAGTAAAAGACCCACTAAACCCCAAACAAACCTGAAATCCTTAAAACAAACCTAAACCCTAAAGAAACCGTAAACTCTAAACAAACCCTTTTTTCACAAGGGGCTCGATTGCTGCCCTTTCTGTCCAGCCCGTTCCAACGCCACAGCGCATGTCTAAACAAACCCTAAACCCCTAGATCCTAAACCCTACACAAACCCTAAACCCAACAAACACTAAACCCCAAACAAACCCCGAACCCTGAACAAGCCAATAACCCGAAAGAAACCTTAAACCCCAAACAAAACCAAAGCAATCCTGAACACACCCAACACCCTAAGCAAACCTAAACCCTAAACCCTAAACAAACCCAATACGCTTACCAAACCCTAAGCCCTCAACCAAAGCAATACTTGAACTCCAAACAGGCCCTGCAAGTTTGAAATAACCCTGTATAAGCAAACACTAAACCCTCTGAAAACCCTAAACAAACCTCAAACCCTAAGCAAACCCAAAACTCTAAAGACACCTTAAACCCTAAACAAACCTAACCCCAAACAAACCCGACACCGTAAACAAACCCTAAACTCGACAGAAACCGTACCCCCAAAAAAAAAAACTATGAACAACTCCTCAACCCTAAACAAACCCTAAGCAAACCTGAAATCCTAAACAAACCCTGAACCACTAAACTTGCCCAAGGGGCCTATGACTTTTCGATAGGGGCCTATCGGGAGGCCGGAAATGGCATAGGGGAGCGTTTACAACTACAAGCAAATGTGGTAAAAAAGCCTTTCACACGGCACAGATTGGGCGCGACAAACCCCGACCTTTTTCACCTGCGAACAACAACGACAACAGCCGTGGCCGAGATGCACAATCTGGGCAGAAGCCAAGGTGGTGCCATGTGGTGCCTATAGATGCGAGATGATGTACAGGCTGTGCAGGTGCTGCTCTACAAACAGCTCGAAGCGAAGCTACTCGCTAGCAACCAATCCCAGGCATGTATATGCTGTGACTCTGTAGGGCGTAGATTCGGCGTAGAGTGTAAGAAGGCAGCTCTACTCTACAGAAGGAACTTCGAAATCGAAAGTGCGTTGAAAGCACGCTTCGCCTCCCTCCAGACACCGGAGAGATCGGTTAACAAGGACATCTACTAAAATCTGCCACTTCTCGCCGATGCAAGGGGCCCGACACTGGATCCCATTGTGCCGTCCAGCTCTGGCTCCACCTGGAAAAGGGAGGCTTCAGGAGGCTTCGAGCTTCTGAGACTGATTTCAGTGTCGTATTGCTTCGAGCCTCCATGTACACCTCGAGCTCCTCGCTCCAGTAACCTAACAACAGGGATGACGGTTGTCAGGAACATGTAACGGGAGCACGGCGGGTGTTTCCAGCAACCAGACGGGGCGGGCATGTCAAGAACACGCGTGGGCCGAATCAGCCACAATCCGAAAACCCTGACTCAGCACCCTTCCTTCCCGACTCTGCTTGGTCGACTCATGTCTGGTGTGCTGTGTCCATGCTCTCACCGTCCAGCCTGGTAGAGGTGACTCCGACAGTTTTTTGATGCCTTTTCCCGCAAGCTATCTCTGCCAACTCGCCTGTCTGTCTGGCGGGTGCAAGCAAAAAGCTTTCAGAAGATGGGTCTGCCGCCAGCAAGATGACACATAGAATCACATAGAAATGCGGTGAAAACATGCATTAGCTCGTAGTCTGCGGGCTGCTGACGGAGCCCATCATCCGGCGCAAAGGCTAGCCGGCCACGCCCCTCCTATCTTACTGGCTATTGCCACCAAGTGGGGAATGGCGCTTGGAAATGCGTAAAGCGAAGATCCTACACCAAGAGTGCAGAATATGAGAGATCTTTGCAGGTTACCTCTCATCGAGCTACGTGGCATGCAGCACAGGACGAAGGGCTGTGCTCCCTTCATCCGCATGCCTCCAGAAGCCCAGCTCTTAAGCGTCTAGCAGCTTGGCACTTGTCTGCAACCAGTGCGAGCGCTGCACGCTACTTGCGCAGCTGCAGCCACCGACTAAACAACTAGGTACAACACAACCTTGCAACGCCACGAGGCCACTAAAGCTTGCTGAGACCCTGCTGTGTGGAGGCTCACAGGTAGATCCCATACGACACCGAATGTCGTGTCGACAATTGCTCATAAATCCTATCATCCCAAGCACGGATAGCCCTCCAATGCCAGTACTCTGTATGATATGTCCGCTTGAATGAATTTCAGGCATTTCATTTTGGCATCCGTATATGAAGTCCATCGTTTGGTATGGAGACTGTCTTACACATCCGGCCATGCATACAAAGGCGGTCTCTGCATAAAAGCCCACCAACCCGTAGCTTGCCTTTGATATCCGCATCTAGCGCCTAGCATTCTACTAGAGTTGCACCATGGTGCACCTTGTGAACGCATCTGGTCATTGGCGATTTCGAAACTTTCTGGTGAGCTGTGAACAGCCAACACCGGCGGACGTTCTTGATCTCTTCATGTTCTTTGACACTTCCGGAGCTCCTCAAACCAGCCTACAATACAAAGGGGCCAGGGGAGTTCTACTTCACATTCACCAGCGGTCACCGGCCCGTAGGAGTGGGCCATGCAATGTGCATGGCACTTCGAAACGCCGGCGCCGCGGCTAGGCTGAAATTACGAGAAAGTTCATGTGTTCATGGAGCCCAATCCCCACTTACTACAGCCAGCCGCAGTCACCGTGCGTTGCATCTAAATCCACGATTGCAATAATGCAAGCAAACACCTGGCAAGAGCAAAAACTGGCAAAAGGATGTCCGCCTCAGTATGGATCGTGCAGCTGCTACAGCTGGCGACAAGAATTTAAAGCGAAGCTTGCTGCAGAGGATGCAACATAGTCGGGCTTCGGCTTCCTCTTTGCCGTCGAGCAAACAATGGGCTTTCATGACTTTCATGGTCGCCACATCGGAACTAAAGCAACGACCCGACCGCAATCGACAGGCTGTTGCTGATGTGGGCCAATTGTGAGCCCCTGTGCAAGCCGTTTCTCAAGCTTGAGGCTTTTCATAAGCCTCGCCCGCGGCGAAGGTGCATTCGTCATTATTTGTTGCTGATGGGACTGGACAGAAAGGATTTGAATGTAGCATAGGGAGAAGGCGCACCATGAAACTAAGTCTACCAGCAGCTGTTCGACATCCGCACTGATACAAAACCCCCAAAGGGCATGATACCTGAGCTGTGCCAGACTCCATCAGACAGATATCCTGACCGAGCCGTCACCTCTTCACCCCAGCAGAACTTCGAAAAGATCCACGTTCGGCAGGCGCTGGGCCTCACATGGTCTCATAAAAACTGATGTGAGATGAAGAAGCTGGGCTGAACACCCAATTCCAGATTCTCCAGCCGTCACTGCTGCCGAAGGACACGACGTGTGAAGGGAAAAGGAGTTGGAGGAACGCCAGTCGGGCCAAAGATCCTCAGCTTCCAACATCACAACGCCTTGCCTCCGTTCGATCAGATACAACCGTGTGTTCTGACTTTTCCTTTTTTTCCCTCCTGCACAGCTGGGGCGAATCCACATTTTCCTTTGACAGCAGGGGTTTGAGCTTTCCATTGGCCCAGGTCACGACACGTTCCGCAACAAACCAGTGACCCTGCAACAGGTCCAGAATTTTGCTATGCAGCAGTGTCCTTGCGTCTCCTACTTCGGAATCCTAGACCTCGTGTGCAAAGAGTTTCTAATTCCTTTGTCGTTCGTCCAAAGGATGACCGAATAGTATTCTGAGGTTAAAACTAGCGAAAGCCTTCACAGATTGACTAGGCACTGTTCCCACGCAACAGCTTCCGTAGCAGTAGTCCGCCTGACATGCTGCCTGGCTGCCTATTAAACCCGCATGTACGTAGAGTTGCTCGCCAGGACATAAAGAACCCCACGCAGTCGGGCATAAATTCATGCTGCAGGCAGAAGGCCGCTTCAGCTGCTCCTCTTGGTTGCAAGGTTCGGGCGAAGCAGCACTGGCGGCCCGCTCCTTGCTAGACCTAAAGAGGGCATTTGTCGAAGGAGTCAGGTCAAGCTTCACTGAAGTTCCAACTTCCATGTCTGCCCATGTGGTTTGATGTCGTTTCGAGGTGCTGTTGCCTTCGCAATGACATGGTCTAGTCTCTTGTGTCAATGCGAGGAATTAAGCCAAAGGCCTCGCAGATGCTCGCGATGGGCTGCGTCCTGGGCTCAGAGAGCGGTGCTTCTTGCACAGAGCGACCGATCACAGAGCACTTAGCATGCTTTGTAGAATCTACTCTTGCTTTGCGGGCTGGATCGCAATGGGCTCTCACTGAGTCCAGCTCCATTCCGAGTGCATGCCGCATCTGCAGGGGCAGATTGGTTGATTGGATTTCCACAAGCTACATCCGCAAAGACTGCGCAAAGAGTACAATGCGGCTCAAATCGTAATGGAGCGACAAACTCAAACGTCACAAGCCCTGGCCACCTGCGCCTTGATTGGAAGGACGAGGGGATGAAGGTGGCAATGCAGCATTCGCTGGTTGAGTCTTCCTGTCCGTTTCAGATGACTGCATGGCGGCCTTGGTGCTCGGCAAGCTCACGCTTCGCACAGCAATCCTCCTCTTCAACTCCCTGGCCATCACATGTCAACTCAACTGGCACAGCCGCTACACTAGCAGAGGATGCACAACTCTCTCGGCCCTGGTCATGCAGTGCACCAACTTGGCCAGGCTGCTGCTCCAGAGACTCGGCTGGTCTCGCGGGCCAGCGGTTGATGAAAGGCACAAAAAACTACAAATAGCTTGATCCCATGCGGCATCGAAACCACATTAAGCATTGGACAATAGCCTCCCATGCGGCACAGCGTGCGCTACATGTTCCATGCACCGCAACAACTCCGGATTCCCTCTTGCAGCTCTCTGGGCCCCCCTTCTCTAAGCCCCGCCTCGCCTCGAGGATGGCCTCACAGGGGCTGTGGCGGCCCGCGCCATGCCTTGACCGCCATCTGTACTTTGCACTTCCGCTTTTGCAACTTGCGACGGTATACTGGCAGCAGCCTGTTGCTGGAACCGGCCGGAACTGCAGCGGTTCTCTGAGCGGTTCTCAACAGCGATTGCGAGCAGCTTCATGGTCCTTGACTGCAACTGGGGCCTCAGCTTCAGCACCGCCTCGGCTTCAGCACCGCCAAGCAGCATGCCTCGACAAAGGGCCACATGGATCTCGGACACAAAACGGACATTGCTCAATGCAAAGCCTTCGATCACCGATCCACATTCCTGAGATCTAAACCCCTTCTGCGATCCCCTTCTGCGATGGCCGAGGGCCAAGGTAATCAGTGGAAGCTGGAACTTCGCGTTCAGAAGTTTACAAAGTGTGTGTCAGTCTGAAGGGCCTCAAGGTGGGAAGCAGGCACTGGCGACACCTACAGTAGCCAACATGGAAGATAAGGAGTGCAATCGCAGGATAAAACACCAGCCAAGAAGCGGCGCACAACAAAGCACCAAAAACACCATGATGCATGCGGATTCACCGGAGTTGGTACCTGTCGTGCGATGTTTTTACGGGAACCGTTCCGCTAACTATTGGTGGGATGCCCCAAGCTCTTGCGGGAACATCATGGCGACCCGCGAGCCTTGGGTCCTTTTGCTCGAGGACAACAAGGACAACACGACGACTTGTATGTCCTTACTACGCGCGAGCTGCGTGGGCGGATGCGTTGCTCGAGCGATTGCGCCTATAGGCCTTGGAATGCAGATGCTCTTGTTTGATTTTTCTACGAAGTCGAGCTATGCTTCTTGGCCACCATGTATTGTGCGGTTCTTTTTTCTTCCCGGCCTTACCCCCGACAGCTGTGAGCCCGTGCTCATGGCGATGATGCACTGTGAACGAAGCCCCCCATGCCCGCTGCCGGTGGGGAAAGTTCACGTTCTTGGCATGCCTCTGGAGCGCCCGCCGAGGCGCGGCAGCGGGCCCGGGGCAACAAACGATGCCTTCGTCGTAGTGATGCTTTCAGGCGCTTGGTCGCGCGTGCGACCAGGCGCCTTGGTGTTGGCTTCCCTCCCATTCCGGTTTTGTCACCAAAACCGGGACGGAGGCGCTCTCCAAGGTTTGCGGGTTGCCACGGGGCCCCCAGGGCCACAGTGCTATCTGTTGATGCCCGGAGCTTTCAATCATGTCTCCCGCCAGGCCATGCTGGAAGGCATGCGCTCCCGGCCTGAGCTTGCTCTGTGCCTAGCCTTCGCCAAGCAAGTCTACGGCGCTAACCGTCGCTACATTTGGGTTGACGACGCGTGCCACAGCCACATCATCACGCAGCGCGAGGCGAGCAGGGTGAAAGCAATTTTGTCGCAAGTTTCCAATAAACTGAGCAAGTGGGATTCTATGACACATTAGGAGTCGACAACGCGCTTGCGCTGGCCAAAGCACTGCATGGAAGCTTCATCTTTTGCTAGCTTGCATTTGACGAACGTGTTTGACTACGTTGAGTCCGACATCACAGCTCTAATTCACCAAGGGATGCCGCGACATTTGCTGTCTGCTGTTGTGCTTGCATCACGCACAGACAGGCTACATCATGTGAAGCCCACGATGTCAAGTTCAACATGGTGCAACAAGGTGATGCATGGAGCCTCTCTCTTTTCAATTGCCGGCGTGAAGTATGCAACACAAACGAATTCTGTAGAATCAGCACTCCTGACATACAGCTGGTGTTGATGCGAGAGGACAACATAACCGTGTATTCAAACCAGCAAACATGATGGAAACATTTGGCGCAAAACTGAGAGCCGTTGGGCCAGTGCGACTTCCAACTGAATGCTTCAAAAACCCCGCATGCCCCAATGTGTCGCTGGATGTTGCCAGTGACGTGCCGGAATGCCTATTTCTCTCCACGTGGGACGACACTCGCGCGCCTGGCACGACAGCACGAGGTCGAATTGCATAGAAAGTCGGGCAGCTTGGCGCAACTTTCAGCGGCACGGCTCGAGCCAGGCCACGCAGCTCAGAATTTCACGGTGCCTCCAATTTGTCCTGGATGGCGAACAACTCGGCAAGCTGTCTGGGAAGCTTGGACGTTGCTGGACCGCGGCGCTTCAGATGTGGAAGGTCGGTTCGAGAACTGACAGGACTGATGGGACGTGCAACACCAAATGGTGGGAGAGCTCAGGGCTTCTTCCCACGCTTGCATCCGCTTGCCTCATCCTCATATGGCTTCTCGGTCATGTTCAAGGATTCCAGTCCCAAACCCCTCCAGCACCGGCGTCGGGCTCGGGGCATGCTAGCAAAACTTCAAGCGGCTGGCGCACAAATTTGATTGAAGAGGACCTGCACTCAGAACTGGCATTGGAGCAATACTTTCTACCCAACCCCTGGACCCTGAACCTGAAAGGGTTCTATTTTCGACAACCCACCTTGTCTGTACAGGTTTCTGGGTGGTTTTATCGTTCTAACCTGCCCCCCTTGTATTCGAAGGCTTGCGGGGACATCCCCACCTGAACCACAGTCCTGCTGAGGTAGCCGACCCCCCCCTGCCAGGCCAATTGCCACGGAAGCGCCTCCTGTTTTTCTGGCGGACGGGGGGGTGGAGGGGTTTAGGGCTGAGACAGTTCTGCAACTGCCAACAGCCCAACTTCTTGCTATGCATACGAAGATGTTTCTTCTTGAAAGTAAACGAATAAGAGTTGGCACAGAAAGACTCAGGCAAGCCAAACGCTAAGGGGTCACACGTAAGGTTACCGAGCGACTGCATTTGTCGCCATATTTGCGATACACGCTAACCTCGCTTATAAGGACTCCGGAACCGACAAGTAACCCTTCTCCAAGCCTCACATTCAGAAAACCTTGAATATTTAAGGCAGGATGATTTCTTCATGGGCCTGCATCTTGGCCAACTCGAGCTGCGCAAGCTCTGCACGGTCACCGAAGGGGCAGCAATGCGAGTGAGTGTGCACGTCCCCAGCCTTTCCCCGATGGTGCCACCATTTAAGCCGGAGCAGCGCGGCTGAAGTCCTCATCAAACACTTGCTGTTAAGGACCTATGGAGGGTAGAGACCCCTTAAGGGCCCAATGATTAGTTGTAGGCGGTAGAGGGATTGCTTGGACAGGATTAGCTGCTTTGGGGCTAGTGCTAGGCTCAAATCATCCACACTTTTTTCTAAGCTTCCTCAAGAGGCAAGGAAAACACATCCACGAACTCCCAGCCATTCTCCCTGCACATCTCCAATGCAAGTCGGTCCATTCGCCACTTGAACAGTTGCGTTTGTGTAAAATACTGTGTTGCTGCTAGGTTGCCTTGCGCAGCACAAGACAGCCAAATGATCCGCTTTCTCTTTGCATGTGCCTGAAGCAATTTTGCCAACCTCTTCAGGTTGATCCTGTATTGTTGCAAAAGTTTTGGCTTCGGGTTGATCTTGTTGCACAGGTCGTGATCACAAGAGTGTAGGACAACAATGCTGAAAGCGTTCAGCTGCTTTGCAAGCTCCCGGCCAACTTGCCTGTCGGCCAAATTACCCAACCCTTTGCACTGCGGTGAGCGCAAGTAGCTCCACTGCGGAGAATGAATGACGGCGCGTCCACCCAAGGTAACGTCCGACATCGTAACACTTCCCTTCGCATCACAGTAGGGGCTGGTCCATTGGCCAACCCATCGGCCGCGGCGTGGCTCATAGTGCTGCTTGTAGCTGCAAACATCGCTCTTGTTCTCGAAGCTCTTGTAAGGCTTTTTCTCGCTCCACATCACCAGTGCTTCGCTGAGGAGCCCTTGTGTAGTGGAGTCGCCTAACAAAACTACCTTCTGCTTTTTCAGGCAAGATTGTATGGCCGCCCCATTGCGCACGGGATAGTAACAGGAGCGCTCGACATAGACATGATGGAACTCAGGGTCCGGGCGCAGTAGGCCCAGCTCACCACAACCACCGACCCCCAGATTGGAACATTTGAGAGCGCCTCCCACTTGAAGCCAGAACCCACCCTCCCGGCGGAAGACACCTGAGTGTCTTGGACAAGGTGGCAACCTTGCCATGGCCGACGTCCATGGCCCAGGCCCTGGCCAGCTCCACCGCAGCTCCCAGGGAGTCCCCGCCACGGAGGCATTGGCTACAAGGTGCACATACATCGATCGCAGATCTTTGCCAAGGATCTTGGAAGAGGAGAGGTGCAGGTCAAATGTGTCCAAAGCACTTTGTTTGCCGGAGGGATCTGCAAGGGGCCAGGGCTTACCCTGGGCAAGGTGCTGGTAGACAGAACGATTCAAGGCCTGGTGCAAGTAAACTCTTAAAGTATAGGTTCCACTGGGCAGCAGCGAATCAGCAGCAACAAGCAGTGTGTAGGAACCGTTCTGAAGATCATGCACCAAAGGTTGGGTCACGAGGTCCAGGCCGTCCTCAGTTCTTCCTTCGAGAAAAGCCAGGAAAACATCGCCCCCCACTCTTTGACATCTGCCTGCAGCACAACAACTGCGGAGCAGTCCGATCCGGAACCATTTGGAGACACCTCCAGGATCTGGCGACGCCACGCTTTGCATCGCATGTACTGCATCGGCCTGGAAAACGCTATGCAGAGCATCGGAGATTTCCTCCGAATCGCAAACTCTTGGTGCTGCCCCACCGGCCAAAAAACTTGTGGAAGGTGGAGCCGTTTCCGGCGGAAGCTCCAACGCAGGTGCCAGCGAAACGTCAGGAACTGACATGTTCGTGGCAGGTGCCGCTGCAAAGACAGTCATATCAGCCGTCTCTGTCGTGTTCCCCCGCATCATGCCCAGCATCTGCCGCTTCTTCAACAAGGGCTGGACAGAAATAGAAATTACAGCGAGGATGCTGCCCAAAGATGCGCAGAAGCGGAAACATCGCCGAAGTGATGGCCGTGTCTCTTCATAGCACATCCCTCAGGCAAAGTCGCCTCCTTATACAACTTACTTACTCATGACAATGATGGGCTTGTTCGACTTCTTCCCTAGTTGCTACGACATTCAGATGCAACAAAGCTGGACAACGACTCTCTTCGCATGATTCATTGTTTTGTTGTTGGTACTGAGGACGATGAGGGAGTGTGCGTGTATACGGAAACGTGGGTGGCTCCTTTTCTGCTAAAGTTTGTATCCCCCGGCGTACAGTACTGAAGCTGCCTTGCTGAGCTAGATATGTAAGCAGTTTTCTGAGGTAGCCCACTCGTGTCTTCAGCCCGATACATTAAGACTTGCAACTCCGCAGGTGCGTGTAAACGGTTTGAAGTGCTAACGTGTGATGATTGCAGTCTCATTCCGGGGTGTCGAAGCAAATGCTCTCGGTTGGATTCTGCGTTGAGAGTCTTCGATTCTGATTTTTAGCCTAACAGGCGTAATTGTACCTTCAAGCCGAGAAAGCCCGCGCAACACATCGAGAAAAACATTTGCAGAGTATTGTTCTACGACAGCCCGAAAACCTCCAAGCCAAAACTCTACCAGCTGCCAAGAAAAAGACAGCCAATGTAAGGGCCGAAGTAATTTGAATCGAGTCATGGGGTCTCTTCCAGGTACAACTGTAAGTACTCTAAGGGGACATTGTTACCAAGCCTTCAGTACCTCTGAGCCTGGCTCTCTCCCGCTTGCAATTTAAGGCCCGCATTCTCACTAGGCTAGGGTGGTGGGGTACCTTATAGTATAGTTGAAAATAAGTGGCTACGCTTATCTTATACTACTGCCCCACAACCCCTAAACCCTACAAACCCCAAAACCCCTCAAAACCCTAAACCCCCAAAAAAACTAAAGCCCTAAACCCCTGAAAACCCTAAACCCTAAAAAGCCTAAACCCCTAAACCCTAAACCCGTAAAGCCCTGGACCCTACTACTAGGCTGACCCTGGACTGGACCCTAAATCCCGAAATGCTGCATCCCAAACTTGAAGGGTTTAGGATTTTAAGTAAGGGTGTAGCCCCTAAGGCCTACACACCTAGAAATGACAAAGGTTCGTACTGCCCAAGAAATTACGTGGGAACTCACCAGTTTGCATGTTGGACAGGTAAACCTATGTGTCCAAAGGTGTCGTTGCTGGGAACATGTGAACTGACCTGCGGCATCTGACCTCCGTGAAGGGTTTAGGGCAAAAGTTTGGGTTCGGCTTTGGGGCCTTTCTAGGGCTGAGCTTTTCACGCAGGTACTTGCGCGAAACCTCTTGCTGACCCTCGGGCCGTCTCCATGGGCACAGACGCGTTCCCAGATCTTCCATGACCCTTCATTGCGGAATATACCTTGAGTCGCATAAAAGGCATCCTACACTTAAAGGAGTATGTTCCTCAACTCAGGGGTTTTTTGGCAGGTCCGGGGTCGCCCGAGCTTTTGGAGAGGCCTGGAAATGCCTTTGGCATTTCAGGAGGAGGATGTAAAACGCAAGCAGAGGATGTTTTGGGCTACGAAAGCTAGAAATGCGGCTGAGCCTGACCAAGAGGGGGGGGAGGGGGGGGCTGAAAAGCGGGGGGGGGGGGGGGGGGCCAAACATAGGGGGCCCCCCCCCCCCTCCCCAGAAATCAATGAAGGCGACCCTGGAAGGGAGCCTTAAGATTGATTCTATCAATCCTATAGGGGGGGGGAGGGGGGGGGGGGCCCCCCGCAGCCGTTTATCTCTTTGATTTTCATACCACTTAAGGGTCGGGGTCGCTTGTTGACCCAGCTGAACATTAGAGAGAAGACTTGTAAACGACAACTCTCGCGAGCTCCAGCTCCAAGGAGCTAGCTTTCGTGATTGTACCGTGAGTTTCCCGGTACGGGGAATCCCTGAGATGGGAAGCACCTCTGACAGAGGTGAAGGAGTCTGTTTTTGCTGCCTATGGCAGACGTGCGTGACACCATGTGCACAAGTCGGCTAGGCTAGATGTTGCTGCCGAAGTCCGTGCCAGTGCCAAAAACATAATCCAGAAACTCGTCTGCCGAGAGTTTCCCATTTCCATCCTTGTCGAGAACACCGAAGAGTTCCTTGCACTCAGCATCTGATATTCCATCGCCGTCACGGCGAATGGCAGACAGAACAGATGCCAGCTCCTGTCTTTCCCAAGAATTCATTGGTTAAAAACTGTTTAGGCTGTAGGCCATAGGGAAGCGTAGAACAGCCCAAACGCATAAAACTTGAGCTTTCGACCGCAAAATCTCCTCCAACGAAAGCTTGCCATCCCCGTTAGCGTCATAGTGCTTGAAGATCGCCTTTACTCCTCTGATGCCGTCCGCGCCGTCGACCTTTACCGTCTCGCTCTCCAGCTTCTTCAACTGTTCCGGCAGAAAGTAGTTGTCCGGCCTTTGCACATCCTTAGTTGCTGGGCTGAGTTCGTAAGCCACAAAAAGATGCAAAATTTCAGCTCTAGAGGGGATAATCTTATCCCAAAGGCGTGTAAAGTGTACTCATTCAGCTGCCAGGGGATCAGAACGGTCAAGCATTGACCAGAAACCCCACTCCTTCGCGCTTTTGTAGTCACCCTTCGCTTCGGTGCCGAGGCCACGGATGGTGGGGAACTGAACAATCAGCTCCTTGAACCCTTGAACGGTTTAGGGTCTCGGGTGTATGCTTAGGGTTTTTGACCATAAATCTCCAGGCCCCTAAATCTTAAACCTGAAACCCTTAAAGCTGAGCCTTCAAAGCGCCACGAAATTCCCGAAATCAAAGCCTCGTAAAGACCTATAAACCTTAAAGCCCTTCCAGTACCCTTCTAAACCCTTGAACTAAAATTCCTTCAAAGGGACTGAACCTCTACACCCTTAGGCTCGGGTCCTTGGAGCCCTCCTCACTGTCGAGGCCAATTCCGATGACCCTTCCTACCTCCTTCGTGTTGATATCTTCGCCTTGCTGGGTCTTATAAGGGTTCTTGTGCGGTGTTTATCAGGGTTCTACAGGGTTTCCAGTGAGGTCTTGATTTGGTTTAACAAGGGTCTTTATAAGGGTCCCAAAAGGGGTCTTTATGAAGTCTTCACAGGGGTCTTGATTGCGAGGCGTTGCAGGATGTTCAAAGGTTGTTATGGGCCTTGTTAACATTGTTAGGAGGTTTTAAACGAGTCTGCACGGTTTTATGACAATTTTATGATCGGTTCCCTACAGGCCCTTTTGAAAACACGGTTCAGCAGTTAGGTTACAGATGTACGGCTTTTGGGGACAGGCTTAACGGAAAATCAGACCCTGATGAATCAACGCCTTTCTGTAAAAGCCCTCTCACACTAGGATCTCGATTTGGATCTTTATTGACTGACTACGTTGCTACTGTGAAATCCAGTCACCGGTCCACTCGGAAGGATTGGACACCTGAACGAAGTCACCGCGCTGGAAAGGGAGCTTGTTGACTGTCGCAGGCGTTACCTTTGCGCAGCCTTCGCCGAGGCCGCCAGTCACCAAGAACTGGTTGTCACCGACGATCCGAATCACTTCTCCCAGCTGTCGACCCGCGAGAGAGATGTAGTCACCTAGCCAGGGCTGCAAGCATCGGGATCTCTAGAAGAAGGAATAGGGCAACCCTAAACCCTAAACCCAGTCCTGAACCTAAAGCCTTTTGCCCCAATCAATCCTGAACCTAAACCCTACACCCTAATCCCAAACTTAAACCCCACAGCGCTACACCGTACACCCTGCACCAAGGCCCTCCTGGTTGAACATCGTGCAGTCTCAGAGTGTAGGGCTTGAACTGCCCTTTGCCGGTCGGGAATCGCACTTCCAGCCTAGGTTGCCCCTTTTTTTAGCCTCTCAAGAACCTTCGTTAATCAAATCCTCTTAGGCCCACATAAGGGAAAACACAAAATGTCCCAAAGGCTTGCCCAGGAACTTTGTTCCGCTCCAAAACAAGCCGGTCACGACGCCGATATGTCCTAAAACAGGGCCTTGACAGTTGGAGCAGGGTTCCGTGAAGTTCCTTCAAGGGTTTCTGTAAGGAGTTGCTTTCCGGGTTGCTATAGGGGTGCAATGATATGGAGGTTTTAAAGATTGGAATAGGAGGCAGAGCAAAGTAGAATGATAACATGAAACCCTAACGAGCATTCAAAATCGCGTTGGCCGAAACAGCTTTTGAAGCACATTACTAACTAGGTGCTTCTAAAGCCAAGAACAAATAGTCAACAATCTCCCAGCGGGCCACCCTAAACCCTATACCCTAAAGCTCTGTCTCCCTAGTGTCCTTCTGGCAAGCCATCAAGATGACCATTGAAGGTTACCTCGCCATCAATTCCGCTCGGATAGCAAGGGGGTCTTAATGACTGCACTCTTGCCTCCCCTCAGGGTTGCTAAATGGGGATTCAAGGAGTGTTACTACAGGAGGGTCATTAAGGGGTCCACATCATTGTAATAGGCCCTCGGGGAACATTCGAACAGAATTGTGTGAAGGAGCCCTGCGGAGCGGTATTCAAGCCGAGTTGGAGGTCGAGACTGAAAGGAACATGGATAAACAGCAAAAGGGGAAGGACCTCACAAGAACGGTCTCCAGGATACAACCCCTGATTCAACCCGAAACCCCCATATAAACCTTACAGCCCTAAAGCCCTAACCCCTAAACACTCGCACCCTATCCAATGCAGATAGTGCCCTTTAGCAACTCTGGTACCCTGATAGAGCTCGCGGCGAAGCTGCGAAGGTGCCAATTTGAAGGCTGGAGTGGCCTAGGTCCCCAACAAAATTTCTCGTTCGGCTTCCATAACACAAAATAAGGGAAATACCAAAAAAAGAACCTTCAACCCTAAACCCTCCCGAAGCCTAAACACTCAAAAGAAAAACAAAAGACACCCACAAAGTTATCCTAAATCTGCCGCCAGTGACGGAGCTCCTGCAATTTGAACCTCCAGGTGCCCTTGCGGAACTGGACCTTGATCCGGCCCTCGTCCTTATTTCTCACAGACCCATTGTCTTCGGGTTTGGGTTTAGGGTTTAGGCTTCAGGGCTTGGG